TTTTATGACATTTTTGTGTACTGCCGGTACACAAAATAATAGGTTACATAAAGTTACTCAAGATGCTATGAAAAGCAATTGTATTCAAATTGTTTTCATTCTATTATTTTTTGTTTAACTTTGAACCAACCTCAATACTATAGGAAAATTAAAAGTATTATCAATAGTTCTTCCCTTGGATCACTTGGAAGAAGTTATTGAAATGATACCCTATTACCCTAAAAACTTCAATGTGTATTTCCTGCAGTCAAGGGCATTTTCCTACACATAAGCACATTCAATATTTAAGATCAGGAAATTAACACTGATACATTATTTCCATCTAATCCTCAGACCCATTCAAGCTTGCCAACTATCCCAAAATATTCTTTATAGCAAAAGGACCTAGTTCAGAATCAAGTGTTGCATTTAGATGTTACGACTTGTTAGTCTCCTTTGATCTTCCTCAGTCTTTCCTTAATTTTCATAATTTAGACACTTCTGAAGTTTAAGGGCCAGTTATTTTGTACAATGTCTTTCAGCTAGGGTTTGTCAGATCTTTCCTCATGATTAGATTCTACAATATGTATCTGTGACAGAGATGTTACAGATGTGATGTCATGTTCTCATTGCACCACACCAGGAACACAGGCTTTGCATGTTCCCCATTACTGACGATGTAAACTTTGATCACTGGATTAAGGTGGTGTCTGTCAAACTTCTTCATTTAGGAGGATACTTAAGATTGTAAATATAATGTTCTTCATCAGACTTTCAATTAATACATTTATTTATATCAAATATGGTTTCATGGTTTCCTCTCTTATTTAAAGAGTTATAACCAGCTGTTACCATTATTTTGGCATTCACATTGTTCCTGTATGTGGCCAGTGGGAGACCCTTCAAGCTAGCTTCTGTGACCTTTTGACATATTCTCCTCTTCCTTCCTTTCTGGCACAAGATCCTCCAGGCACATCTTGTACTTTTCCTATCTCAGCCTTAGAATCAGCTATTTCTCCAAAAAGCCCTGGTTCCTTTCATTGGAGAACGGCATTACACACCAAGATCTGAGTGCTGAATGCACATATTCTATTGTGGTCCTGCTGCTCTCATGTCATTTCAGTGGACAGAGCTAATACATGTATACATCCATAATATGAATATATATCATACTTATGTTTGTATTTTATTTCTATGCCTAGATTTATAAATTGGACACCATGAATTCACACTGATAACTTCAAGTTCCAATATAATACAATAGGGTTTATCCTAGTTTTCTTTTTTTTTTTTGGGTACGCGGGCCTCTCACTGCTGTGGCCTCTCCCGTTGCGGAGCACAGGCTCCGGACACGCGCAGGCTCAGCGGCCATGGATCACGGGCCCAGCCGCTCCGCGGCATGTGGGATCTTCCCAGACCGGGGCACGAACCCATGACCCCTGCATCGGCAGGCGGACTCTCAACCACTGCACCACCAGGGGAGCCCTAGTTCTCTTTCTTAACATACTTATAACTCCCTTCTCTAGCAATAAGAAACCCAACTCCTATTATGTTTAATACATGTACCTATTTGGTCACTGCCCCACCCCAGATTATTCCAATCTCTCACTGCCATCTTCATTGCTGTACCCATAGGATATCTTCATCACTGTGCCCATATTCTGACACCCTGCATTCGGCCACCCCACATTACTGAAACCCTCCTCATCCCTGCTTGGCTCCAACACCCCACACTGGGCTGGCCGCTTCAACGCTGGGATTCTCTCTTCACCCTGCTCGTGCTCTGGCATCCTGTCTTGGGTAGCTGCTTTCACCCTCTTATATAATCCATGGTCCTCCCCACCCCGACCCCTTTAGACTTCTCAGTGTCTCTGACACTTCATGCCAGGCCATCCTTTTCCTACTGGGGATGCTCATCTCACTCAGCCTGGGCTCTGACAACCCACCCTGGACCACTGCAGACCCCCCACCTGCTGGCACAGATGCTCAACTGCTTGGTTCCACTTAATGATTTTGCATATACAATTGTTCAGGAAGAGAGATACAGAGCCTAGAAAGGAAGGGAAGGAAAGCAAAAAGAAAGTATAACATGAGGAAAAGGAAGTGCTATTCTACTATTCTATCATTCTTTTAATAGGAACAAAGAAATAATAAGTCATAACATTTTAACAGTGGAGAGCTTATCTACTGCACTGGGGCCACATGGAATAATCCTCTATCTCACTCACACACACACACACATATATATGGAAATAGATATACATATAGACATAGAGGTAGACACACACATGCATACAGACATACAAAAAAAAAGACAGGTAAACCAGGGGTAAGACCAGTAGCCAGCACTCCTCTCTTTCTAGCACACAGTAGGACTATATTTCCCCTGCCCCGCTTAAAATTAGGTTCAACTTCAAGTCATGATTATATGATTTGCTTTGATAGTGAAATGTCAGTGGAAATGACACAAATCACTTCTGGATGAAAGAATTTAATTGCTGATGCTTTTAAATCAGCAGATAGACTCCCCAGCTAACTTCTTCCTCCAGCATGAGGATTGTGAGGTAGGCCTTCATATGCAGGTGCAATGCTGAGACATTTCATGTAGGACAGACTGCCTTGGAGAGTCACCTGTCACTGCAGCAAAATTCCCAAGAGGGAAAAATAATTGTTTTTTTTTAAAGTTACTGAACTTATGGGCTGTTACTGCAGTACAACTTAATGTTTCCTTATTAATACAAAGACGTTATATTACTGAGATAAATAAAAGTACAAATGTATAGGTTGCAGCATTTATTTTGTAAATCCAGATAAATACATTTTTCCTGTAAGTTATTTCATGAGAAAGTTGTATAATTTCATGTCTTACGTTTACTCAATATATAATTTTATTAAGGTGATCTTTTCCCTTAAGGTTATCACATTAATTTTTCTGATCCACAGATAATCCACAGATAATTAAGAACATTTATGACATGTACAAAATACTAATTCTTGGGGAATAATAGAAATACCTGCTTTTGTGTAGAATTATAAAGGGTTAGCTAATTGGCAGGGAAACATATTTTAAAACTTCCTGCAAATGCAGTTCCTAAATCATTTAGAAAATAGCTCAGAATTAAAAAAGGCTTAGTTTGAAGAAAAGAAAATGTGTTTCAGTGTCCAGCAAATAATAGGTATTATATCGTTTTTGAAAGATAAATTCTTCATTAAATATTTCACATAATTATACCAGTTTTTGTAGCTGTTATTAACAGAGACAAATAGCAGCAGATTCCTCATTGCCAGAGTTTCCTCTACAGTTTCCATTTAAAAGTATGTTTTGAATTCATGCCTTTATGATTAACTATATACACATCTGTAATTTTCCAGCACGGGCTGCTTATGATGCAGCTATTAGCCTTCATTAAAAATTATCGAAGTCCCACACTTTCAAACTAAGTGGATGATACATACCAAACAACAATCATAAATTTTTGCCTTTAAAGCATTCTATGACCTTTCAGTGTGAAGCATCATGTCTATAGAAATAATGATCTGGTGAGTTCTGCAAACATGGCAAAATCTCAGCCATGTGACTCATAGGGCGAAAAGTCACTTATTACTAGTCACACAGCAAGTGTCTGCAGAGTATAATGGATTTATAGGAAGCAGGGTGACCACAGATCTAATTTTAATGAAGCCCAAGACATGATCTGAGCTGATAGAGTGTGAAGTCTGAATATAATCTATACAAGGTTAGAGTTATTGTTTGACAACATAAGGAATATAATTTTGTCTCTAAAAGGTTCTATTTTTCTATTAGGTTCCACAGATACATTTTTCTCTTGGTAGCAAATGATTAAAATTATATTGAGGTGACAAGAAAAAGTTTTTGGACACTTTAAAGAAAATTCTAAATTTTCTCATAGGTTGACTATTTTAAATATGTTAAATTTTCTCCTATGTCTTAAGTCCAAGGTAGTTGTATTTTTGCATAGAATCACATACACAGATAGCAAGTTTGATTAAGTAAGAATACTAGCAGATTTCTATCACTAAAATGCTTCATAAACAGAAAAATGAAATAGGCAATATGAAAACTCCTCCAAAATTGATTACTTGGAGGTATACATAAAGAAACATGTGCTTACTACAAATAGAAATCATTATTTACTAGTGTTAAATGTGAATGGAGAAGTGTCATTCAGCCTGATAACATTTAAATAACGTACGCCTATATTCTTGAGACAGAACATGCCTTAATGTGACAGAACTTGACTTATTTCTACGTTTTCCTTACTCCTGTGTTATTTTCCAGAATGACAAGATTAAATATGACATTATATCACCCAGTCACACAGAGGCCAAATTAGCATCTGGATACAAGCTTGAAAGACAATTACCAAGAGCCTTGTATTACTCGACAATAAAGCTTGAACAACTGAACTATGAATATATGAAAAACCTGTGCTTTATTCACCCAATAGGGTGAAATGATTTAGGAGCAAAGTATTTTAAAAATGAACACAGTCTACATTCTGGATCTCAGAGCCTATGCTCAGGAACCTGAATGCTAGAAAATCCATGTAATTTTTAGTCAAGCAACAGTCATGCTGGTGATTATTTAAAATAAAGCTTACTATTTATGAGAAGGTAGAATACGATTTCATGGGGAAAACTGACTACTGAAATAGAGAAAAAACAATGAAACCTGACATTTGCAATGTGGAGAGTCATTTTCAAATTTTTTTCACAGGTTTAACACTTTGAAGTAGAAAGAACTTGAATTATTAGGAGGGAGAAAAGGCAAAGTGAGTTCACTTTCCAAAGTCTTTTTTTATTAAAGATCTATCTTGAAGGTTAATTTGGGGGAACAGGAGCAAGCTGCCCAATATGTCAACAGATATTAAATCTCCTTGGATTGCTGGATTTCTGGAAGTTGATTTTTGTAGAACATCCATCGTATCCAGGCTACACAAAGAAAATGCACACCAACTTCTGGAAGAAACCTAAGTCCCTTCTGAACCTGGTGACCTTACCTTCCTCTCCTGCATAGGCCAGGATGGACCGTGCTCGTATCTGTTTCCCTTCTGTGGTTTTCCCCGAGCAGGTGTGGGAGCAGGACGACCATGCAGACCACGTGCTGAGCACACAGTCCTTGGGGCACGGGGCATCGCAGGCAACAGGGATGGGGAAGATGGCGTCTCTGCACAGCTGTCTGTCAACTTCTTCTCCTGGGAAAGACATCATCACCAATAGTCTATCATTTTTAAATAATGTAAAATGAGCAACTGAAACCAGGTGGGCACCAACATAAACTAGGTTACTTCCCTCTTGTTCTTGGTTAAAAGCAAAACCAAAAGAGTCACGGCATACTATAGCCAAATGTTAAAAAATTACCAGGAATGAATAGATAGACACATAGATAAGACAGATAGATCGATCAATTGATTCCTAAATGAGGCTTCTTTATTATCAGTGTTTGGGTGTGTAGATCAAGCACATTGTTACAAGTTTTTTATGCTGTGATACCTGCCCAGGAAGTGATTTTTATACTTATATTATTAATCTTTGCAATAAAGAGCATCAAAGAAATATGTCCATCCCCCTTTATTTCATTATTGCAGATGAGCCATCATTCACAAATAATGAGTCCATCCATAGCATGTACCATTGGTTTTCCTGAACCAACTCATATTCTCTTATTTGCAAACTCTCTTGTGTCTCCCAGAGAATTTATTTTTGTACAGTTGGCAACCTTTTTCTTTCATTAAAAAACTAGTCCGGGGCTTCCCTGGTGGTGCAGTGGTTGAGAGTCCGCCTGCCGATGCAGGGGACACGGGTTCGTGCCCCGGTCCGGGAAGATCCCACATGCCATGGAGCAGCTGTGCCCGTGAGCCATGGCCGCTGAGCCTGGGCGTCCGGAGCCTGTGCTCCACAATGGGAGAGGCCACAACAGTGAGAGACCCGTGTACCACAAAAAAACAAAAAAACAAAAACAAAAAAAACTAGTCCGTTAGTTGGAAATAGCCAGGAAACATAAATAATAGGATGGTAGTATAAAACCACTGGCTACAGTGATCCCATTGGGAAAGGGGCAAAAAACAACAAGGTAAGCTAATGGCAGAAGTAAGACTGTGTCACTCCAGTGCTTAAAACTCTTCAGTACTTTCCTACTGCTCTTAAGATGAAGGCCAGATTTCTCAAAAGTTTATGAGACCTCAAATGATGTGGCTCTTGTTTTCTTTTCTAGCTTCATCTCAGTCCACTCTTTCTGTTACTCACAGAGATCTAGAGACCGGCACTCATCTAGCGTTTGAGTAAATGAAAGGATATATACAAAAGGTCAGTGAGGAAGAAAATATTGTTGCTGTTAATAAATGCCAAAGAAAACTAGAAGAATTACAAATAAATGACCACAATACAGTATGAAAACGTCTGAACTCTGTGGCTTAGCTGTTAAGTACAGGTGCTAATGAGGTCAATGGAACAGAGTAAAACAATATACAAACAGGCAAAATTAATCTGCTGTTTTGCCACAGAATATATCCATAATTCAGAACGGGTGTGTCAGAAATGTGTGACTTGAGGCATTAGGCATTCAGATGAGAAAGGGTGACGAATCATGCCCTTCTTCATTGCTATAAGCCAACAACTCAAAGCTGTTTGTCACTGATGGAGGGTTAGGAGCATCTTTTGAATGGACAGTCCTTTATTCATGTATTTGAAAAACAAAGACAGAAAATCAGAAGTCAATTGGAAATGCTCTAACATTAATCGCTACTAGTTTGTAGGGCCTTAAATCATTAGGCAAAATCAGAAGTCAATTGGAATGCGTGTTAGTAGCCACTATTTTGCAAGCCTTTAAATTGTTAGGCTTGCTCACTAGTAAGTAAGACTCACTAAAATGACTGTTGGGTCATCATTATATTATTCATTCTTCTTTAGTTACTCTGATCTGTAAGAAGATCTCCTTTAATTCTGCTTTTACTGGCTTTAGAGTTTGGCTTACATCCCAATAAATGGTATGATATAGATTGTATGGTAGATACAATATAAAAATCATTATACTCCAAAACATGTAATATTCTACAATTTACATAATGACTCTTGTGTGTACTAGACTTTTTTCTTAGTGCAAAGAGGGGCTTGCATATGTCTTATTTCCTTTGTTGCTATCTTTTATTGTTCTATCTACTCTCGTTCACTTTCATTTCCAATATTCTGTGAAAAGTAAGGCAAGTTTGGGGCATATAGTCAACCAGGAATTATAGTTTTCTGTTTTCTATAATAGTTACTTAATCATTTCTATTCAGAAAAATTTAACTCATCCTGCAACATTAGAGGAGAGTGTGCTACCTGTGTGCAATTACATTAATTTGCATGACATAAATAATACATTCCTGTTTCTTGTAGTGTAAACCTAAGGGATGTACAATTTTAACCTTTCTTGCTTTTTGAGTTAGTCTTTTTTTTTTCCCCCAACCTGTGTCTCACACCTTATGTTAGATCTTTTTCACTTACCTTTTTCTGCTTAATCAGGTGTACTTTCCTGTAAGTTAATTCCTTCTAGAGTCTACCTTAACCCTCTGTGGAGCTGTTAAGAACCACTTTGGATCCAACCTCCAAGGTTTCAGCATTTACTTCACTTTCCTCCCTGGCAGTCCCCCCCTCTACACACATCCCCCCCACCACGGTCCCACAACTTGGTCAGGTGTGACCTTGCCCCTGTTTGCCCCTCTAATCGCTCCTGATTGCCCATCACGGTCTTGCATCTAAATAATGGCATTATGCCCTAGACACAGTGACTTTTTTTCCTTTCCTCCTACAGACCAATCTCACTGTTGCCTTTGCATTCTCTCTTCCTTTTTCATGAAACTTTCATATCTTCACACAGCAGACTGCTTCTCAACATTCAGGTTTCAGTTCAATTGTCTCCTTGCTAGAGGAGCCTTAACTGACCATACACAATCTCACAGTAAATTCATTTTATTTTCGTGATAGTTTTAACCACCACTAGAAACTATTTTAATTAATTGTTTACATGTTTATTATCTGATCCTACTACTAGAGTACAAGCTCAATAAGGGCATGTTTCTTATCTGTCTTGTTCATTATTTTATACTTAGAACCTAAAACACTGCCTGGCACCTAGTAGACACTAGATAATCTACTATGTGAATAAATGAATTAAGTTTAAGCTGTCGTTCTTGGAAACAGAATGTTGGACTAGACAAATATGGATTTAAGTACAGTATTTCTTAAAATACCATGCATTCAAGTGGTCTAGGACTTTGCTAAAGTGTATTCAGTGGACAGGCAGCACATGCATCATCTGGAGTTTGCTAGAAATACAGTCTCTCAGATCCCACCCATAAATCATAACTTGTATTTTAAAAAGATCCCTGGGTGATCTGTATACAGGTAAAATTTGAAAAGCATTGCTCTAAGATTTTTTTGCCTTTATTCTCTTGTGGTTTGATTAGAACTGAATTGCCTCTTGAAAGCGCAGCTATATAAAATGAATTCATCTGGATTTCCTACCTAACATCATTCACTTCTCTGTGGGACTTCCCTTTATACTTCTCTTTATACCTGGGTGAAAACATTCATTTAATGAATAGTTACTGATTGCTCATCTTTGGTCAGGCACCATGCTATGAATATTATATACATCATCTCAGCTAATTGTGCCAACAGCCTTCTTTTTTTTGAGGTATAATTGACATATAACATTAGTTTTAGGTGTACGACATAATGATTCAATATTTGTAAATGATCACCACAATAAGTCTAATTAACATTTGTCCCTGTACATAGTTACCATTTTTCCTTGTGATGAAGATTTTTAAGATGTATTCTCTTATCAACTTTTAAATATGCAATATAGTATTATTAACTATAGTCACCATGCTATACATTACATCTTCATGACTTATTTATTTTATAACTGAAAGCTTATATCTTTCACAGCATATTTCTGACATGGATATTAATATGTATTTTTCACTTTAAAGGAAATTCAAGCTCAATAAGTTTAATTTTACTGTCTCAAATTAGCAGAAGTTTGACTAAAGAAGCAGAGATTTGTACTGAGTTCTAACCAACTCTCCAGTCTACCTTTTTAACTGTTATGGTGGTAGGGAGAACTTGAGATGCCAAAGGAGATAAGAATGGATGAGCCTTTGTCTGCAAAGAAGTCAAGGAACCAGCAGATTTTTTTCTTTAATCTTTCTGAGGTTAATTTCTTGCTATTCTGAATGTGATGCCAACACTTAGAATCCTTCTCATGCTTGACTTTGTGTATTAAATATACTATATTTTTTGGCACGCATTTCCAACATGAAAAGTTTCGAAGGACTGCTTTGCTTTTACGTAACATGCTCACCCCTGACCCCACATCAGGCTCTAGGCATTTTAACCAAATCTTAAAAAAATGCATATTTTACATGAAATATATAACACAGAAGTAAATGAATGAATCACTGTCCACATATTACAATTTACATCTTACTTTGAAGCCTTAACTGAAGCATATCTTATTCAAACTTGTTTGTGAAACACTTTAACAAGAGGTTGAGAAATAAAATGAAAATGCTTGGGTTTATTTATTTTTATGAACTCAAAAACATTTAAATATTTAAGTTGGTGACACCCATTCAACATTTTTCTCCATAAATATAATCTTAAGAATGTTTTTAATAATTTATCATTTTAATCAACTTAAACATGTATTTTGGCACTTTAACTCCCAAATTTCCCCTTTTTGAATCTATTTTTAGGGATACCACCAAACTCTCATGAACTCTTCTAAAATATCTCCTCTCATTCTTTTGCGTTTCCTACTATAGGATAAGAGAATTAAACATCAGCTTGAAGTAATTACACCAACAATTCGTGAAGATTTCCAGAGAAGTAAAACAAAATGAGAACTGGGGTCAGAGGATAGACATTTTCTTTTCTTGGTAAAAGTATATACTGAAAGTTTATTGCATTCATTGTGGTGAAGCTTAAATGTAATATAAAAGATAAACCTTGGTTTATGAAGGTTTTTATAGTTTGAGTTAAGAATATTGATACATTAAAAATATAATGAACTGTATTTTAACGTAAGGTATATGTACCTTTAGTCCTACTCCATAAATGTCCCTGGCATCATCCTGATTTTTTTAAATCATAGAAATGTGGAGACTGCTATGGTTGACTTTTAAAAAAAAATTTATTTTATATTGGAGTATAGTTGATTA